GCTCTTATTCCTTTTGGTTTAACCATTGTTTTAAAGTGCTTGGCTCCTTTGAAGGTAAAAGATTATGTTTGCCCACAAATAGGTAAATATTGTGGCTTGCACAGAATATGACAAATAGGAAAGTTAATTCATTTTGTATATTTGAGAGAAATTCTCTGTTTCCATTGACTTTTTGTCTATTGGAAGCATGAATTAGTATATTTGTGAAGGCATTATTTATTAATGCAACTTTTAAATACAGCTTCAATTAACAAGGTAAGAGCATTGTAATGTGCTATTTTTTCACACTGTAAATACTTAAAAAGGAACTTGCCTACAATTATAAATACCTTTTAATCCTAGAATCAAACAGAAGATAGTTTACGGAAAGAACTGATAGCATTACAGGAGGATAAACACAACTATGAGACGACAGCCAAAGAGTCCCTGAGGAGGGTTCTTCAGGAGAAAATTGAAGTGGTTCGAAAACTTTCAGAAGTTGAGGTATTTCAGTTTAACAGACACTAAATAGTAGTATGATTTAAAGTTGTCAGCCTAAAATTGCTAACATTCCAGGACATTACAGACTTGGGTGGTGTTATATGACTAGGAGATACTTCCTGTCTATCAGGTGGGAAGGGGCAGGATGCTGGTTTCATTGCCAGGAATTCTCAGCTGTGTGGTCACTGGTGCTTAGGGTACCCAGTCAGGGACTAAGGAAATAAAAGGCTACCCAGGTAATCTGTTTTACTACTTACTATTTGTACTCCACTTAGGATTCAGCCTCCACCCAGTGGAACATATGTGTCAGGAAATTGATCTCCTGTCGCCTAGTTTTGCTTTTCTTCCATGTGAGGATAGTCAGTGTAAGGCCGAGAACCTACTGTTGCTTTACCCATCCTGCAGAGAGGAAAACAGACTGTGTCTTAAGTTTGGACACTCAAAGGGGAAATTCTCTCTAATGTCCTTTCTAAGTCTTTTAGGAACAATCAAAGTATGATTCTCATTGCTTTAAAAACAAGCTAATTGATAATACAAGTCATTCCTTCGAACCACAGCAGAATTACCACAGAAGTAATCTGTTGCTGGATTTAGTTAAAATCCCCCTTGTAAAAAATAAATAGTAAACTTTAGGATAGGGATAGTGTCTGTGAGAGCCCTATTCCATAGTGACTGATACACCATCAGGAAACAAAGTTGCTGGCCATCTAATAATTTTCTTAAGTTGATTACAAGTTATTAAACTTGCTTTCAAGAATTGGTAGGCTTAAAATATTTCCAAGGCTAAAAGTCCTACCCAGTGGCCTTCTGAAAGGGTAGTTGGCATCCTCTCCTCCCTGCCTCTCGTTTTTGTTTTTTTTCCAAATTCTTAGTCATGTGTCTGCTTTAGATGGAAATCCTTAGGTCGTTTAACTCAGCCTCGAATAGTACATGTTGATAGAGTTACACTGTTTTATAAGGTGAATTTAGACTGTGCATGTATTCTAAATCAGTTGCCTGTAAACTTGAATTGCAGCGAAGTCTGAGCAATACTGAAGATGAATGTACCCACCTGAAAGAAATGAATGAACGGACTCAAGAAGAGTTAAGAGAATTAGCCAATAAATATAATGGAGCAGTTAATGAGATTAAAGATTTATCGGATAAGTTAAAGGTATGTGTGTACTCAACCCGACAGTATGTTAGGCTAATCGTCCTTAACAGACTGAATAGCTTAAGAGTTCACATATTGCCGGATAGGTGCTGATGTAAAATTTGGTAATGGTTGAAATTTATAGTAAAAATAAGGTGTCAGCCCAAACCCTATTGCCACAGAAAACTGAAAGTCTGTAAAAAGCTGACATATTTCCTCCAGATGGGAATAAATACAGTAGACCCTTGAACAACGCAGGAGTTAGGGACACCAACCCCCTCTGCATTAGAAAATCCACATACAACGTTGGACTCCCAAGAAACTTAGCTACTGATAGCCTACTGTTAACCAGAAGCCTTGCTAATAACACAGGCAGTTGAGGAATGAATATTTTATACATTTTATATGTTATATTTTATATTCTTACAATAAAGAAATAGAGAAAAATTATCGCAAATCTCCAAGAAGTTTTCCTATATCTTCATTGAAAAAAATCGGCATGTAAGTGGCGCTGGATGGTTCAAGGAAGCCAGTCGTTCAGGAGCTAACTGTAGCCAGTGCTTCACAATAGGCATCTCTTAATATATCCCAGGAAGTAGATGAGAATTAGCAACACCAAGGATCTTCAGACTTTCTTTAAACTTAAATCTGCTTGTCTTTAGGAAGTCCCAAGGCAGGGCCCAGCTTTATTAGTGCCAGAACAAACACAGAGGGGACCTTGGAGTGAATACTTGTGGCTTCCGGGGAGGCTGTTGGGTCTCTTCCAGCAACCTATAGCTTTAGGACATTTAGGGTAAGGACAGACTGGACTGTAGGTAATGTCAAACTGGTCCTTAATATATTATAACTGAGTTTGTGGAGACCCATCTTTATATAATTCAAACCATGGATTGCGTGGCTAGAAGAATATATTTATTAGAGAAGACCAGAGCATACCCCCGCTCTATGTGGTCGGCTAACCTATAATAGTTACAAAGATCGGTCTTGTTAAAAGGAGATTATTTTGAAAAGTACTTGTGACCATCTATATTCCTGTAGCCCAACATAATTTTGTTTAAAATTTCAGAATAAGCTACATTTTAGAACATACAAACTAATTGAAATAATAGTAATGTCAGGAGAAGAGTTCATGTATTTCATTCATGAAAAAACGTGGGGTTTTTTTTGTTGGCCTTTTCTCTCTGTATTGACCCTGCTTGCTTGCTACAAATTTTTCTCTCCAAGGTGATACAGAGACATGACCCCAGTGCAGATCTCTCCTGACATCATTTTGGCATTTACAAATACGTTCTATAGTGTTGAATATTCTCCTTAGAAGTTTGTGATGAAAAGCGATCCTGCTTTAGGCCTTTTAAAAGAAGGTCAGGTTTTATTAAATAACTGGATTTTCTTTTTCTTTCTCAACAGGTAGCAGAGGGAAAACAAGAGGAAATCCAACAGAAGGGACAAGCTGAGAAAAAAGAATTACAACATAAAATAGATGAAATGGAAGAAAAAGAACAGGAGCTCCAGGCAAAGATAGAAGCTTTGCAGGCTGATAATGACTTCACCAATGAAAGGCTAACAGCTTTACAAGGTAGGTCAGCTAGTCCAGAACTCGATTTGATTTGATTTTTTTCTTTTTATCTGTGAAATATCTTTTTCTTGGACTTTTATTTACAGTACGGTTAGAACATCTTCAGGAGAAAACTCTTAAAGAATGCAACAGCTTAGGTAGGTGTCATCAGATTTCTTGTTTAAAGCTGAATTTTATCATTAAACTTTTGGTATTTACTGTCTCACACTGGGTGCTTATTTTCTTTAAGAGGGATGTTTTACGCATTTGGTATAAAATATCTGCACTCTTTTAGAAAATGTCCTTAAACAGTATGCTTGATTGCCACCAGTGGGCACCATTGTGTAGTCCTTGAGGTGAATGGAATTTCTGCATCTGAGATGTTCTAGTTAGAGAGATTTAAGAATAATACACACACAGCAGGATCCTTTTTCTTTTGAGGTTCATTGGTAGGCTACTAAATAGTTATGGCCCTTTCTCTGAGTTGGTAGGAAATGGCAATTGGAACCTTTCTTGTAAAAATGAATTTAAAGTGTTCTGTACCATCTTAATACAGGTAGGAATGCAAAATGCCGTGGTTACACTTGAGACCGTTTTAAAGTAATACTTTCTTTGATCAGGCAATGACACACTGTCTTAATCCTAGGGGTACAAGTTGATGACTTCTTACCTAAAATAAATGGAAGCACAGGAAAAGGTAGTGTAAAAACATTAAATATTTTTCCTTCCCGATATCCTTTTACTATTTAACTAGGATAGAGAGGTCGGGGTTTTAAAGTTTTAAGTGCTTGGAATGAAAAGCATGCTATTCATAGACCATTGGATGCCATCTTTTCAATCAAGCTTCCCTTTACTTTATAGTTCTTACTGCTATGAGCTATGGTTAGATATCCCATGTTATATGGAAATTTCAGTTAATCAAATAATAAGAAAATGATGAAGTTCAATGGTAGCGTTTGCTTATATAACATAAAATAGCTCCCTCGATCACCCAACGTATTTTTCAAAAGAACTGTACTGTCATTTTCTTCCATCAACTACTGCTTTCTGGGGATAATTGGCCCCCATTTCTAATGTTTGTATCCTGCCCCCTTCCCAGCCTAGAATTTACTTACCAGCCCACTGAGCTCTTGGACATGTAATAGAAACTGCTTTCTTTATCTGTCGTTTCCATCAACCCAAGAAAACAGGGTCAGTCATTTCTGCCGTCTGAAAAATCCTTTCTTCGTTCTTGGTGCTGTGACCCTTCTTTCTGAATAGCTGGGGATATCTCTTGCCAAAAACAGCCACTCTACTTGCCAAGGACAGCCACTGCTGGTTTTCCTACTACTACACAGGCTGGTTTTCACCCAATAGCTGCGACACTTCCTCGCTCATGACGATTCCTTCTCACCCTCCTCCTCTCCCCATCTAGCAGGCAGGAACTGAGCACCAGCCACGTGCCAGGCCTTTCACTAGATGCTTGCAGTACAGAATGAATAAAGCTGTTTTCTGTGTTTATGAATCTATATGCCTGTCATCTCAGTTTTGATACAGAAGTTAGTGGAAGACACCAAGGTCGATACCCAGAACTCTGAACAAATATTTTTCCATGTATCAGGGGATATCTTTTTAAGTTCTTGGACAGCGACCAACTCTGACAAAATTAGGTGTTTTGTTTGTTTTTTTATTTTTGGTTGATTTGTTTTAATCAACAATTGGCAAAATAGGCTCAGGTAATATATGTGAGCTGCAAGGTCAAGACTAATATTGCATGTATACTAAATCTTGAAACTCTAAATTTAAAAGAATTTCATTGATCATTGTTATTTGACTATTCTATATATGTTTTATAAAACACACTATTTAAAAATTCCAATTTGAGTTTCATTTTGAGAATTTTTAAAGGTGTAGTTTATATTCATTGCACCAGTATTACTAATTTCTGTTTATTAAGTGTATTTAGCAAATGTAAAATGACTTAGTCCTCATCTTCTAAAAGCTTGTTGATCTTAAATGAATTTATATTTTCATAATTTTGCCTTTTTTTCTCTTTTTGGTATGTACACTTTTTATTCATTTATTTTACCATTTTGACTTGAGCGTGTATTAATAATGTTAGTGTTATTAACTAACAACTGGGAACTATTAACTATTAAGCTGGGAACATTGTATTCCTTCCATAAAGAGAATCCTTTAATATACACTGAATCATCTTTATACTATTTAGAGTTATCAAATTACTGCCTAGAATTTTTTGCCAATTCCAATTAATTTAGATGAGAACTGTGAGAACTGTTGAAAACAACTCCTTAATTTAAGTCCGAATAAGATACATTAGGTACTTTAAGGTACTCCTTGCTATAATTATTTTTCCCTTGCCGGTGTGCTTTTTCTTTTTAGTGGTGATGAACTGAGTAGTGTGAGAGTGACTGATAGAATATTTTAAAGTAAACTGAGTAGTAAATATCTGAATATGTACAAAAGCTTCATTATACCAGATTTACTAACAGAGTGGATTTGGAAATAAGATGGGTCTCATCTCAGTCATTTGTGATGTAATTAACAAATCAATTATCACGCATTCCAATATTACCAAAGTCCTTAGTCATATTGTGCTAGCAGACATTACATTAACTAAACTGGAGAGACAGGTTTAAATAGGAGAGAGAGAACCAAGTATAGTTGTAAGAGAATATTTTTTAAAGTCTGGAGATGTTAAAATTAATGATACTGCTCTAAGAAACCCTATTTTTGAAATGACTTCAATCTAGAGTAGCTCCTATAAGCATAGATTCTGTACTATAAAATTTTTATATCTTATCTAATAAGTGTAATTTGAGTATATGCTAGAGGGTATAAAAAAGTATGTCCAATAGAAATATTATGAGAGCTATATACATAATTTAAAAATTTCTGGAAGCCACATTACAAATACAAAAAGAAACAGGTAAAATTTTAATAATATATATTTAAATAATATATTACTTTAACCATTATATCCAAAATATCATTTCAACATGTGGTCAATATTAAAAGCTTATAAATGAAATATTTCACATTCTTTTTTCCTTCATAAGTCTTTGAAATCAGTGTGTTTTATACTTAAAACACATCTCAATTCAAACTAGCCACTTTTTAAGGGCTCATTAGCCACATGCAGCTAATGGTCACTATATTGGACAGGTAGTACAAAAAAATCAAACTACATAGGAAACTCAGATGTTTAAATAAAACATTTTAACTATTGTGGTCTCTATTATGTTTATGTATCTGTCTGTTTCTTTATATTCCTACAGTTCTGTTTGGTATCATAGACATGCCATTCCCCCAAGTATCTGTTCTTTTTGAATTATCAGTGATGTTTTTTTATAGTTCAGCAAAATAAATTTGAAAGGGCCTAAATTCAAGTAATGGAATAATAAAGTATCATGATCCAAATCCTTTATGTATGTTATTTGAAAAACTTTTCTCTCATGTCTAGGAGATGCCTCTGTGGAAGTCATATATTTATCTTATTATATTGATCTTGTATTTTATCTAAATTAGTTTACTAAGTTTTAATGTAGAGTCCAGATATTAAAATTAGAGTAGATAAAAGGGTGATTTTTGCCTTACTGAGTAATGAATGGTGGGATATCCTGCATTAATAAATGTCATCTGAAGTCCTTTGATGCTAGTCTGAAATTTGGTTTCAGATAAGTTTTATAAAGTCTGTTAGGTTAAAATTTGGTTTTCATATTTCACAGTAATGTTTAGTTTGAGTCTTCAGAATGTTATCAAAGCTTGGTTAAGATTTATGTAAAACAGCTTTTTATCTTGGTAGTTACTCTTCAACTGAGGGCTCCTGGTTTTTGGTTTTTTTTTTGGTTTTCTTGGCTCCAATTGGCAGATGCTGTTTGTTAGATTTTTTTTTTTTTAATTTCAAATTTCTGTTACAGTTAGCCTTTTTTCCTTTTGGGGGCTATCTTGTATCTCCATATAACTATATAACCCTACAGTTATATGAATTATATATAACCTGATGTATATCAGGTTACATACTACATGTATATCAGGTTACATACCACACTTACATACTACATGTGTGTAACTGCCACCTGGAGGCTCAGCACACCATGTAACTAGAAAAGGGATTGTGACGGATTTGAGTTGAAAGGGAAAGAAGGCTGCCGGGAAGGATGCCATGAGAGGGTGGTGAGCGACCACAGGAGGGGATGCCCGCCTCTCAAGCAAAGCTGAGGTGATGAGGGCGGAGGTGGGCAGACACGGAGAAGGGGAAGGAGGCTTTACCGTCCGAGGGCTACTGACTCACTGGCCTTTTTGGCAGGATTTAGCACCTTCACACCTTCCAAATAGTCATCATGTTGGAATGTATTTCTAACACTTGAACTTCCAAAGTCTACTTGGTAGTTTTGAAAGTTACAAATGTGTAATAGAAGGATGTTATCCAGATTCGGAAGTTACCTCCTCAAATCAAAGTATATAAAGATTTCTGTAAGAAAGGGGCTAAAACTTTAATTAAACTACTATGTTAGCTTTTGATTCTCTCCTCTTATTTGAATAAACAAAAAAAAAAAATTCTGTGTGAACTGAGCAGAACCTAACCAAGCTCTGATTTTTTAAATGTGTGGGCATTGATTTTCATCATTTGGGCAGAGATAGACAATGTAATGTTTTGATAGTATGTGGAGGACAGTTTAAGTGATTCAAAGGGAAAGACTATTTGTGGATCAAACTGTAAAATATTGTATCAGTTTCTTATAATTTCTCAGGCATTGTTTTATGTATTCTTAAAATATTTACCTTTTACCTCTTAACTGAGACGAATAACTTTGAAAAGGGGCTGCCAGAGAACAGTCATTTGAGAACTCAAGAACAAACAACATCTTTTAATTACATAAGAGTATTTGTAACCTGTCATGGAGAAGGGTGCATTTTAAAAGTGGGAGAAGCTTTTTAAAGTATTTATGTGGTTTTCTTGAGCTCTTTGGGTAGAAATTGTACCTTTAAAAGCAAAACTTTCAGGGTACAAATTAATGATTATATAATTATAATTTTTCAGTCATTTAAATTTAACTCCAAAATATATCTGCTGTTAGTATTAAAATATATTAAACTTTTATTAATCTTATTCAGAGTTACCCATGTTAACATATTTCAGTTTTCCAACTTTTGCTGTTGGTTTTCAAAAACAGCAACAAATTATATCCTTAAAGGTGTTTCTTTCTTTATTAGAGCCCTTGCTTTCAAAGAATGGCGGGGACTGCACTTTTATTCATCAATTCATAGAATGCCAGAGTGAGTACAGAGTATTTTTCATGTTGATTTTAATGGAGTCAGGGGCTAAAACTGAAAAATGAGAGGAAAAACGAAGCTCTCCATGTGTTTGTTCCAGTAGAGTGCGCAGAGGGCCATCTTCAGACAGCAGCGACCCTTTCTGCACCGTGTCTGTTTCTCTCTTTGGAGAAAAATACTTATGTTGCATGTGCCTTCACAGATGGAGGTGAGCATTTCAAATTGCCCACAAAAAAAAAGAAAGAGGAAGTTTCAAGCTTTTTAATTAAAAACATTACCGAACAGGGAATAAGAATGTCAAGCTCTTAAACATTCTGTGTGGATACTTAAGCTTTAGTAATAACATTAACTTGTTTTATTTAAATTGAACTTGTATCACAGACATGGATTTTGAGGTTCTTAAATGATTAAATGAAGCCACAAAAACGATACTTAGTTTGGGCGCTTAGATCTGAAGATGGCCCTCAGGGAGGTAGATTTCTAGGGAAGAGCAGCAATAGATTGTCCCTGTCTGACACCAACTGCCTACCCTTGGGAAGTACGAGGCAATCTTTCATAATATTTTAAAGATAGATAGTTTGGCTTCGGAAGTGATTTAGATCTCTGCTGAGTGCTGAACGGAAGTATCATGAATTCCCTCGTACTTGAAAACCATATGGCTGCTTAATCTCTAATGATCATGAGGCTGTGATACTCTGTTGGTTTTAGTGACAATAAAGGTCACGGTGTGTAGTAAAGATCCATTGATGGTATCTATAGCTATCAGACACACACCTAGTTGGGCATTTTTCTCTCCCTGTTTGCTCTCTTTTTGAAGTGAGTGGTTTTCCAGGTTTCATGCTCATGAATTCCTTTTGGGGCTGTGCACACATGTGTGGTTCGCCCTTCCTCTCCCCCCAAACACACACACACACACACACACACA